TTTTTCTTTTCTTTTCTCCTTATTCTCTCTCTCTCACCCTCCCCTTCTCTTTTCTCCTGGGTTTGTTCTTCTCCTTCTTCATTTCTTCTTCCACTCTGTTCTCTCTCTCTCTCTCTCTCTCTCTTCCCCCCTTCTTCGTCTTCTTCTTCTCATCCTCAACCTTGTTCTTTTTCTTTAGATCTACGTCTTTGTGCCCCCCCCCCCTTTTCTTTTTCTTTTTCTTCTTCTTCTTCTTCTTCTTCTTCTTCTTCTTCTAGATTTGTGCTAGCGGCCATAATAGAGCTGATGGGGGCGGTGAGAGCTAGATCTGGTAGATCTGTACTAGATCTTTTTCTTCTCGGTTTTCCCTTATTTTTGTGGCGAGGGATGAAAGATGATGGTGGGCGCTGGGGCTGGGGCAGTTGTCACCGGTGAGTCAGCAGTGGATAGTGGAGCGGCGGTGGGCTGCGGCGGCGCTGGGCTGGGGCGGCGCTGGGCTGGGGCGGCGGTGGGCGGGACAGTGGTGGGGTGGACGGCAGTGGGCTGGGGTGTTTTGGTAGGATACTGGTTGGGGGTATTTTGGACATTTTAATATCAAAGTCAAGACTCACTAAAAATGACCAAAAGTCAAACTAGGAAGATTTTTTCCGGACGGAGGGAGTAATTTTTTTCTATATATTTATATATATTTAGGTAAAAATACAGTATAACTATATACTTAGCAAAACGCGAAAGTTGTAACACGGATGTGTAGATGGAATGGAAAGCGGTTGCAATGCTAGTAGTGACTGAGTCCTCAGGTTGAGGGTTCGAAACTGGGCTACTACAATTTTGAACCACATTTTGTTTATTTTGTTTTCCTTTTCCATTTTTTTGTACGTTTCTTTTTTGTTTTTCTTTTTTTTTTGTTTGAATCCTTCATTGCATAGTCATATTTGTTTCTCACATAATTGATTTTACTTTTTTTTAATAACTCTAAAATAAAAAATCTTCACATTTTGTTTATTTTGTTTTCCTTTTCCTTTTTTTTTGTACGTTTCTTTTTTGTTTTTCTTTTTTTTTTTGTTTGAATCCTTCATTGCATAGTCATATTTGTTTCTCACATAATTGATTTTACTTTTTTTTAATAACTCTAAAATAAAAAATCTTTTATGTATACTTTATTTACGAATTGGTATTGAAATACAAATTACTTTTTGTTTATTTTGATTCCCTTTTCCATTTTTTTGTACGTTTCTTTTTTGTTTTTCTTTTTTTTGTTTCATTCCTTCATTGCCTAGTCGCATTCTTTCCTCACATAATTGATTTTACTTTTTTTAATAACTCTAAAATAAAAAATCTTTTATGTATACTTTATTTACGAATTGGTATTTTAATAAAAATTACTTTTTTGTTTATTTTGTTTCCCTTTTCCATTTTTTTGTACGTTTCTTTTTTGTTTTTTTTGTTTCATTCCTTCATTGCCTAGTCATATTCTTTCCTCACATAATTAATTTTACATTTTTTAACAACTCTAGAATAAAAAATCTTTTATGTATATTTTATTTACTGGAATTGAAATAAAAATTAATGTTCGTCTAAATTGACTTTTGAAGTCAGACTGGATAAATTTTGATTATCGGTCAATTTAAAATTGAATAGGTTACCGAAATAAAATTAATTTTATTAGATTTATCTTGTCAATTTTTTTCTGAAATTTATTTCTTTTTGAAAATATACCATGCAAAATTTATGTAATTGGCATTAAAACTAATCCAATTTAATATTTTTTTAATAAATCTAATCTTTAACTTTATGAGTTATTCCCATCATCTCGTTATGCTTGACTTATACATTATTTACAAAGTTAAATTAGATAGTTTTTCTTTACATGTTTTTGTCTATCATTTTATTAAAAATTATAGTCATGAAAACTCTTATTTCATAAAACATTTTATGTTATTTTTAAATCTACAATTTTAAGTTTTTATTCAACACCAAATATTTGAATAAATTTGAAAGAAATGTTTTAGTTAAACATTATAAACTGAAATGAGACAAACATGTGACAAGAAAGTACATTTTTACTTAACATTCGACATGTCGTGTGTTGATAAAATATCTCAGAGACACGACACCACGATCCAAATTTTCTGGGTCCGCCACTGAGCTAAGGTCAAGATTAACAAGCGTGTTTTGAATATTACATAGCCTGTCAAGAGGAGGGGAAGAGTAAGGCGAGTGAGTCTTATAAGGAGGCTAAGAGAGAGAAGAAGAAGACGGTTGCAGAGGCTAAAGGTGAAGCTATGAGTAGATGCAACCACGCAAATATGAGGCAAATGAAAGAGAATTTGTTTTGGGGAAGAACGAGAACAATTGAAACCATGCAAAGATAAGTTTTGTGAATGTATCATTAAGGAGGAAGTTATGGGGACACTTGACATAATTGGGAGAGCCAAGGCACTAGACTCTGATCAAATCTCCATTGAGCTGTGGCAGTGCTTGGGGGGCAAAACACAATGGCTAACGGATCTCTTTAACATCATACTCAAAACTGCCAAGAGGCACATGTGGATGCTCATTGCAGTGGTGCAACTCTATAAGAACTGAGTCAACACATAGAACTATGTGACTGTTGTGGTGCCTGTAAATCTGTTTAGCCTGTAAATCTATTTGTTTTCATGCCAAGAACTACCGTAGGGGCAATTCACCTTCCCACAATGAGAAGTATAGAGAGTGTAGCAATGCACACATGGTGTTTCATAGACTGAGAAAACACTTACGACACTATCCCACAAAAAGTTACTCCCTCCGTCCCACTGTCTTTGTCCACTTACCTTTTGGCACACCATCCAATGCACTTCTTTAATCCATTTTATCTTGTAATTTGTATATTAAAAAATTATAGAAATTATATATTAATAATCTATATGTTAAGACGAATCAAACAAGATCACACATGACTATTTTTAGGCTTACACATTGAGAGAATTTGATGAGTCAAAGTGCTTAGATGAACAGTTCCAAAAGTCAAATGTGGACAAAGACAGTGGAACGGAGGTAGTATTTACAAGAAATTGGAGGTTAGAGG